GATGACAGATATAGCAAAGAAGATTTTTATTCAACTTTGTAACATCAGATAACAAATTGTCTTTTAACACATCTAATCTTTTAAAAATGAGATGGCCAAGTTTAATGTGTCATACATGAGCATAAACATTATCAACAAAAGCATTGAAAATAGAATTGAGGATTCTGGTGTCAAGTACATATAAATCATGGAACTTATCATCTCTGCCAATCATCTTCTTGGTTGTAGCCTCTTGAATAATGAATTAATCATGAAAGAAACTTGAGTTGGTTAATAAACTAACTAATAATAAATTTAACTTGAATTAGGGTTCAAAAATAACATCATGCATAATCAATTTTGGGCCTAATCTGATATCACCACATAGGTTGACTGGTATTCGTGTGTGATTAAACAAAGTGACACTTGAATTATCAACAATTCTCAAGTTCACAAAGACAGCAGCAATGGAGCACACGTGTTTGGTGGCTCATGAGTCCACTATCCAAATATTTTTGAATGCAAATGTAGGACTAACTGATATGGAATAACATATACATGTAGAACACGAAGAGGTATTTTTGCCCTGATCAGTTGAAATATGATTTGAACTTGAGACTAAGTGAGTGGACAACATTATCATCAGTTGCTTATATTGACTGGAGTTCAAATTCTGCATCAAATTCCCAATGCCAAGCTGCTGATCCATCTACTTGTCCTCATTCTATAGAGTGAAAGAAGCAGACAATTGATAGAATTAGAATTAGAAGAGTTTTGGAAATTGTCTCTTGACCTTACCTTGTAACCTGGTGGATATCCATGGATTTTATAACATTTATCAACGTAATGTCCATGGCATTTGCAATGTGTACAATAGGCATTTCCTTCTTCTTGAAATTTCCAATGTTACCTATCTTTGAACTGTCATTGTGAAAACTAGAATGAATTTCTGCTTTAGCATTATCAAATCTAAATGCAAAGGCAGCCGCTGCATTTGATTAAGCTCCAACGAAATGTGTACTTATTTTTCTCTGATTTCTCTCTTGAGAAATCAATGCAAACACCTTATTAATAGGAGGTAGAGGATCCATAAATAGTATTTGACGTCTAGTTTGGGAAAATGAATCATGCAGACGCATGAGAAATGACATAATATACTCCATTTGATAGTGCTTATTCAGTTCTTTAACACCACCGCAAGTACACTTTCCACATCTACAATTAGGTCGAGAATTTTTCAATTCTTCCCACACAATTTTGAGTTTAGTAAAATACACACTTGCACAAAAATTGTAGAATGCTGATTATTTTCATCTAGTGAAGGACCAATGTGAGAACATTAAGTGACATAAATGCCAAAAAATATTTGATTAGAACTCAATCCTTTCAAAAATGTGTGGGTCTCGAACCTTAATTTTTAGCTCTACGGTCCCAAATCTTTAAATTATGGATAAATCTTCATTTGACTATTAATAAGACGTGCCAAATGGTATTTTCATATTAACTTAGGGTCCGTTTGATAGGCAAATGTGGAAATGAAAACCAATTTCATGTTAGTTGGAAAATAAAAATCCACCAAACCCATAAGAATTCATTTTTCCATGAAAGTAAAGAAAATGCAGTTTAAAGTGGTTGTACCTTAGAATTCGATTTCTATTTCCACTTTACAATCAAACGGCCAAAGTGAAATTCGTTTTCCTCTAATGTAACATTTTTCATGAAAGATGTGGCAATCAAATAGAGCCTTAATAGAACAGTTGAAAAGGAAAAGATCTTCCCGACAACCAACATCTTACCATATCCCAACAACGTTTAGCTACATGTATATCACTACTTACATATTAATGTACACACATATGATGTAGTGAGATATTTAAGTGAACACATAAAAATTTTCAGTCCACGTTATTGTTAAACAATCCAGAGAGAAAGTGAAAAAGAGGCTAGGGTTTTATTGATTCTGCATAATGTAATTGAATAATTAAAACCTAGATACAAAGAGACTATATATAGTCTAAAATAAAGACAACTTAAAAGACTATTCTACCCTTAATAAATAATAAAAACAAAATAATCATATATTTCTTAACAAAGAGATGCAAACAAGGTAGTCATACTTAACAATGA